ATTCTGTTATGTGTCATAGTTATTACATATTTGTATATGTGTTAGTGCACCTCCTATACCTGCTCTGTGAGGGCAGGTGCTTTGATTCCCTCCCATCATCTGGTACAGTCTTTTAGGTAAGTTACTTAACCGCTCTTTGTTTCCTCAGTTTCCTCATCTGTTAAATGCAGGTAATAATAGTGCTTACTTCCCAGGGTTGCTGTGAGGATAACATGAGATACTATTTGTAAAGTACTTTGCGAACATTAAGGGCTAAATGCTAAGCTATTATTATTATTAGTTGTTGTAGTATTATAGAGGCTTAATAAACTACTATTAAATGAAAGAATGAATATACAGTCTGATAGGATAGATGACAAAAATCACTTATGATTATAAATAGTAATTACAAAAGTGTGTTGAATAGCAAAGAAGATAGATTAGGAAGTATTCTTAAAGTTTGGGCACTATTAGACTAAATCAGAGTAAGTTTCATGTAGGACAGCTTTCAGGAATGGAAATAATGCAGTTTTAAGCTTTAATAGCATAAAAAAGTCTTTAATAGCCTAAAAGTACACTAAGACTTGGGACACTCTATACTATATATTCTATGACAGGCAGAAGGAATAAGTTTGTCTCATTTTATACGATACTAGGTGACACCATGAATAGAGTACTAGGTCTGGAGTCAGGAAGACTTGAATTTGAATCCTGCCTTAAAAACAATTTGGCTGAGTGACCCTGGGCAAGTCCCTTAACTCCTGCCTGCCTCAGTTTTGGCAGGTAGGGGGTAAGGGACTTGCCCAAAGTCACACAGCCAGGTTGTCGGGAGGATCAAATGAGATAATGTGTTAAGTACATGGCAAACCTTAAAACTACATAAATGCTAGATATTACTATTATTATTATATAGACAGCAATTTGGGAAAAAAAAGTTTGAAGGTCAAAAAGGAAGGCCCAGGTATATAGGGAGCCCATTTTTTTTTTTAAATTCAGATTGCAGTGTATCTGTCAGGGCTTTTATTTGCCTACTTGTATAAAGTATTTTGAATTCTAGAAAAAATCTGATCTATTTCTTCCCAATAAATTTAATAACAACAGATAATAGACTAGTAGTTGGGTTTCATCACTATATTATTTTGTGATTTAAGAAAATCTCAAATATTCTGGACCTTTTTTGAGGGGTTTGGGGTTTTTTTTGGTCTGTAATAGGGATATTCATGTACTCCCACTAACCTATTATTAGATTATTGTAAGAATTAAGGTTCTTGGGAAGAAGCTTTTATTAGATTCCAGATATTACTATTATATGTGTTAATATTTCTAAACAAATAAAAATGCATTTACATGAATTTCACTAAATTAGAATTTTCAGTAATTGAGATCGATGTTGATTACTTGTTTAGAGCTCATTTTTTTCTGATAAACAGTACAAATGGCCAATGTAAACAAACTTATAGGGCTGAATTAAAAAAATTTTAAGTCAACAATGTAGTATAGTGGACAGGAAGCTAAACTTGGAGTCCTAAAGTCCTAAGTCCATATTCTGCCTCCCATACTTAAAAGTTGTGTGACCTTAGGCAAATCACTTAACCTGTCTGAAATTCAATTTACTTCTTTGTAAAATGGGGGTAAAAATACCTGGATTACCTACTTCATAGGAAGATTATAAGGTTGGAGATCAGAGTTGTATTGTTCTTTGCAAACATTAAAGCTATATATGATTATCAGCTAACATTATTATAGTAAAACACATGCTTACATGAAAATGATATGCTAACCATGAATAAGCATCATGTGTTGAAATATTTCTCCCAAGACATTCTATTAAGGTGACTTTTGAATGAATAAAAAAAATGTGTCAACCTAGTTGGAGATATTGTATGGACATAACAATAATAAACCTGTGTTTCCTGAACAAATATCCTATGGTTCAGACTTTTCACAAATTCAAATTGGACTTTCCTCTAATTATCATCTAGCATAGTGATGGGCATATAGTGGGTACATAATAAATATTTTATTTATTAATTGATAAATGAGGTTTGCCTATAATAACTTATCTTCAATGGACAAAATAATTTCTGTTTTGTCAGGAAAATACATATATTGTTTTTTGCTGTAGTTAATCAATAAGCTTTCATTGAACCCCTCCTTTGTGCCAGGCCATGTGGAAAATCAGATATTCATGACCTTTTTGAGATTTTCCATTTAGCATATTTATTGAGCTATCTACATTTGCAATGATCGCTTCTGCATCCAAACCTAGGTAAATCATAATTGATAAACAGAATGAGTATGTATTATATATAACCAGTTTTCTTCCTGAGCCTCCCCCCCACACACACACTTTTGATTAGATTTCCAAGATTCTAGGCAAGTATATTTTTACCAGGCCATCCATTGTTAGATCTGAGTTAAAACTGTATGCCTTGGACTCTCACTAGTGGTATGATCTAGAATAAGTACTTTAACCCCTCTTGTTCTTAGTTTTCTCATCTATAGAGATGGTGATAATAGTACCTAATTCACAGAATTGTTATGAGGATCAAAAGAGTTAATGTATGTAAAGTGCTTTATAAATGTCATCTGAGATTATGAACTTATTCAATTAAATCCGACAAGCATTTCTTAATATTTATTAAGCACATACTATGTGACAAACACTGTGCTAGTCACTGGGAGTACAAAGAAAGGCAGAAGACAGCCTCTGCTCTCAAGAAAATCTCCAGAAGTGTAATAGGGGAGACAATATACAAACAAATATACACAGAGTATATATACATAAGACATATATGCAAATAAGATATATGTAGGATAAGTTGGAGATAATCAACAGAGAGAAGGCACTAGAATTATACTTAAATGCAAGGATGAAGGTTAAGCTTTTTGTAAATCATTAGAAAGCTCAGTTATATAATGAAAAAATGCACTGGGTTCAGAGGTTTTGTCCAGGGTTCAAATCCAACTAGCTGTCTGGCTGTAAGCAGATCATTTCAACTCTCTAAATTCCTGTTAACCTTTTGGTAAAAAGAGGATAATAATACCTCATAGAATTGTTACAAGAAAAGTGCTTTGTAAATCTTAAAATATTCTATAAATGTGAACTCTCTCTCTCTCTCTCTCTCTCTCTCTCTCTCTCTCTCTCTCTCTCTTCCCCCCTCTCTTTTTGGTGAGATGTGATTTCAGAGAACATAGGGTCATTGATCTAGAGATGGAAGGGGCATCAGAGTTCATTTAGTTCAACTCATCTTGTCCCCTCTTTATAGATTATGAAATTGAGGCTGAGGAGGTGACATAGCTTGCCCCCAAGGTCACACAGTTATTAAGCATCAGAGGCATAATTTGAATCCGGGTCCTGGAGAATTTCATAACTCTGTCATATTCTTATTGATTCAACATTCATATGCTTGTTAATCACAGAGGAGGGCTCTATTAGAGACTGGACATTCACAAATGAATGTCATCTGACAATCTGGCATGAGAGATATGATTAGAATAAAAATAATTACAACATGTGTTGAAATATGATAAAAGGCATAGGAGAGGTAGCAATAGAGTGCTTTGGCACCATCAAACTCCATCTTACATGATATAGGGTGTCCCAAAAAGCTATTAAATTTAAAACTGTACTAAGACTTCAGGGACATTCTGTTTGTTTGTATACATGGCATCTCCCTTCCACCCCAAGTAGAATACAAAAGCTCTGTTTAGGGCAGGGACTTTATAATTTAAAAACATTTTTGTTATCCCCGATGCCTGGGCACTTACACATTTTTGTGGAATTGATGACTTATTTAAGAGAATATTTTTAGGTATGTGGGTCTGCCTTGGTGTTTGTGAGATAGGGTGGGATGGGATAAAGACTTGTCATAAATAAAAGGTTCTTGAAAGAGGTATTACTAGTACTGGATCTTGAAAAACAATCAATATTATTTTTATATCTTGAAGTTATATAGCATTTTGTAGTTTATAAAGCACATCCTCATAGCAACCCTCTGAGTTAGGTAGGATACAATGGATTTTACAGATAGACATTTGGGATGGAAGGAAAGGCTTTCCATGACTAAGGAAAGGCACGAGCAAGAGGTTGAAAAGAAAGGATAGCATTAGGGGATGATGAGTAGGCCAATTTGACTGAAATAACCAGTACAGAAAATGTTTCAAAGTGAAGTTAGAAACAGATTGTGGTGAACTTGAATGCCAGGATAAGGAGCTTGAGATTTCATTTAGTTGACAATATGGAGCCACTGAAGGATTTTTAGAGCAGAGTAATAATGTGATTAGAATCTTAGAATGAGTATTCTGATAGCAGCATAGCTATAATTTGGAGCAGAGAGAGTGATGAGGTATGGAAACCAACTATAAGGCTATTGCAGTAATACAGTAGTGAGAAAATTAGGACCTGAGCTAGGCTGGTAGTAGTAGGAATAGAACTGAAGAAGAAAAAATGTGAAAGAGAATAAATTACTTCCAAGATACCTTGCCCCTCTGAGGGTATGATGAATCACTACTGACATTGCCAGGACTTAGTGAATTTTAAGTCTCAATTTACAATAACAAAGGGATAGTCTTTTCTGAAATGAGTGGGAATTTAGTTTAAGAAAGGGGGTTGAAAAGCTGAATGTGCCTAATCTGATCATTATACTTGGAGAATGTTGCACAAGATGGAGAAATCTTCATAGCATATAAGCAAATTCCATATACAAGTGGTACCTTTTCCTCCTAGATTTGAAATAGATCCATAACACTTTAAAGATTTCTTCCTAGGATAATCACAATTGGAAATAGTTTGGAAAAAAAAATTTTAGGGCAATTGGGGTTAAGTGATTTGCCCAGGGTCACACAGCTAGTAAGTGTCAAGTGTTTGCCGGATTTGAATTCAGGTTCTCCTGACTTCTGGGCTGGTGCTCTATCCACTGTGCCACCTAGCTGCCCCCTGGAAGGATTTTTTTAACCTGATGTTTGTTTGTAATGGTTCCTTATCTATTTTAATTTTTAATCACTTCTAAACTTTTCAGAAATATCGGAGTGCTTCAGTGGGGGCCGAAGAATACATTTATGAACAAACAGCAAGGTAGGTTGATGAGAGACGGAACTGGTTAACAAACTGATTAAGATTAAACTAGGACATTTGAGGAAAACAAGATAATTTCTAATCATCTGATCAAACTTTGAAGTAAATGCATAATATATCTAATGTTAAAATAGGCAATTACCTTAATCATTTTTCAAGTTTAATGGAAAGAGTAATGGTCTGTGAAGTCAGGAGATCTGGTTCTAGTTTCAACTCTTCCACCAGTTGACTGTGTGACCTTGAGCAAGTCTCGTCATCTCAGTCTCAGTGTTCTGATCTGTAAAGTGATGTAGTTGGGACATATAACCTTTAAGGTTCTACAGTTCTTCAGTTCTACAGTTCTATCATTCTATGATATCATGCTGTTGTTTTCTTAGGAAAAAAATAAATTATAAATTTATTGTTTATTCCAATTCATTGCAACAAAGTTAAATCAACTCAGTTAAGTAAGCATTGATTGTGTCTTCTCTTCCTGGTGTCATGCTAGGTGTTGAGGATATGAAGACAAAAATGAGAACAGTTCTTGTCCTTAAGAAGCTTACATTCTACTGGAATTTTGTTGTTTAGTTTTTTTCAGTTGTGTTTGGGTCTTCATGGCCCCTTTTTGGGGTTTTCTTTCAAAGATACTGGAGTGGTTTGCTATTTTCTTCTCTAGCTCATTTTACAGATGAGGAACTGAGGCAAACAGGGTTAAGTGACTTGCCCAGGATCACACAGCTAGTAAGTGTTGGAGGCTAGATTTGAACTTCTGACTCCAGGACCAGTGCTCTATTCACTGTGCCATCTAGCTCTCCTATCCCTATTTTAAAAATGAGAAAATGCAGGCAGAGAGAGTGATTTGCCCAGGGTCACACAGCTAGTCAGTGTCTGAGACCAGATTTGAACTCAGGTCTTCCTGACTCCAGGCCCTGCACTCTATCCACTGTGCCACCTAGCTGCCCTTATATTGGAATGGGAGCTCCTTGATTTTATGACATATCAATCAATAAACAAACATTTACAAAATGCCTTATATGCCAATCACTGTGCTAGGCATATCTAATAAGCATATTTTTCACTCCTTCTTCTTAGAAATTTATTTTGGATCTCTCTTTATTATCAGCTTTGGTTGAAGATTTTATTGCCCTAAGGTGAAAATAGACATTTTAAAAGTTGACTTTGAAAGTCACCTCTTTGCCTAGGCTTTTTTTAAGAGTACATGAAATAAAAAAACTAAAAAAATCAAATGGCCCCATTGAAAAGACTAATGCAGAAAATTTCAACTTACACTTAGCATACAATGCAGAAATAAACACTTCAGTTCAAAAAGACCACTATAGTATGTAAGTGTATTTCACATAATAAAATATATATCTCCCTGAAAGTTCTATAATTTTAATGTAAATGAAGTATTTCAAATGCATTAGGAAAATTGGCTATTTGTTTTGTTTTTGGTTAGGCAATGGGATTAAGTGACTTGCCCAGGGTCACACAGCTAGTTAAGTGTTATGTGTCTGAGGCCAGATTTGAACTCAGGTTCTCCTGAATCCAGGGCCGGTGCTCTATCCACTGTGCCACTGAGCTGCCCCGAAAATTGGCTATTTGAAGAAACTGTCATGTTTCCTTTTGTGAAGCAATTGTTTTGTGAACAATTATTTTGTAATGGGAAAAATTATCTTCTATTGTATTCCTTTTCTAAGTTTTTTTTTGGTATATTATGTTGTCTTAAAGTAGGATACACCTATATTATATCAGCTTGATGAAAGTCAAAGAAATTTACATATTATACCTCATTGGTTATATGTTGTAGCCTGCATTCTCCATGGGCCATAGGCTTGCACAATTAACCAGGTATATTATGGACTTTCTTCCTAACCAAAAAAAAAAAAATCTGACACATAGGTCCCTACTGGGAATTACACAAGAAATGTATATACAGTATTAGAAATGACCTTTGCCTATTTCCATCTTAAAATTACATCTTCCTTGCTATAGGCTAAGTTAGTGTCAAATTCAAGCAAATGCAGGTCAATATTTATAAGAAGGGACATTAAATTTATTAAGCATCAAAAATGAAAATAAACAAACAAAATGGAGGTGGGAATGATAATTGTTATTCTTTTTTTTCCCCTTTTCCTCAGTAGCACATTTCAGTATACTTTGGAAGCTACCAAATCCCTACGTCAGAAGCAAGGAGAGGGACCCATGACCTATTTAAACAAAGGACAATTCTATGCCATCACCCTGAGTGAGACAGGAGACAACAAGTGCTTCAGACATCCCATCAGCAAAGTCAGGGTATGAGCATTTTTCATATTAAAGACACAGAAATCAGATATCTAAAAGTCAGAGAAGAATTTTTTTCATGTTTTTTTGGGGGGGAATGGGGTGGGGGTGGAGAGCATTGCTTTAATTTTTCTGTTTTCTTCTTTTTCTTGAATAAAAGAAAAAAACACAAGGGTTTTGATTTATCATCCTAGACAGGTGCCAAAATCATTTCAAGGAATAACTATGGTCTGCAACATACATAGTTTTAGAATATATCAGAGGGACATTCCCTGCTTCATTCATCAGATATGAACTGCATAGCTTCTTATCAATTAATCTTAATTTATTAGGTGTGTAGCTGTGAAGTTGAAATCTATTTGGGAGCATGAAAGAGCTGCTACTAGATTCGAAAAGGGAGGGTATGATTAAGTCAGTGTAGGGAGGAACTTGGAGTTCTATTTAAAGGTTTCACAGCTCACTCCCTCCCTATTTAAGGGACAAGACTCAAGCCTATCTGAATTATTTGGAGGGATTCTCAGATGCAGAAGCGTCAGTCCTTTTGGTGGAAAATGTAATTTGAGTTTTAGTCTCACATTGGAATGCTGTCAGCTTCTAGAATCCACAATGATGCCGGGAAGGAAAATAATTGATAATCTCTTCACACTGAAAAGGAGTATTTTATCAGATTCCCCCATCAACACCACCATTACCAAGAAAGTTGCAAAAATCTTCAGATTTTCTGATAAAATCTTTATGCATCTTCACTCATAGCGACTAACCACTGCCTCCCAATCCCATTTTGTTCATACCTTCTACCTCCCATTGAAAGACTCATTGAGATGAAAGAACACTACCGTATGGCTGTGGCTAAATGTGGCAGACTTGAGTTTATCCAAAATAAAAAAGTCCCCATGAAAATCCAACCAACACATTATTAAGAAAAGAGGAAAAGTTTGTTCAGTTTCTCTTGATACAGTGGCACAAACTTGTTTGTTATAACTGGATTTAATTGCTTTGTTTTAGTGTGAGAAATTAGAAAGGTTATTAATCTGACCATTTTTCCTCTACATTATTATACTCGCCTTCTCTCTGGGGAATCTAATCCAATCCAAAAAAAATCTAATCAAACAAGGATTTTATTAAGCACCTATCTACTGGATGTTCTTTGGTCCTGTGCCTTCTCTTATCTCTCTACACACCCCTTCATGGATACCTCATCTGCTCCCAGGGGTTTAATTATCATCTCTCTGCAGATGACTCACAGAGCTATATATCCATCCCCTTCTCTTCTTTCCCACCCTACCCCCACTTCAGTCCCACATCACCAGTTGCCTATTAGACACTTCAAACTGATTGTCCCAGAGATATTTTCAACTCAACATGTTCAAACTAAACTCAAAATCTTTCCCAAATCATCTCTTCTACCAAACTTCCCTCTTTTTGTTGAGGCTTTCATGTTCCTCAGTATTAATCTTGACTTTTCAGTTTCTCTTACCCTATATTTCCAGATAAGAGTTCAATTGGATTTAATGGGCTGTATTTTGATGAGGAGAAAAATATTCTCTATGAAGCGCTACATTAGGATTTCAATTCAGTTCAATTCAGTGACCATTTAGTACAGTGCCTACAATATGTCAGGCACCGTGCTAGGCACTGGAGATGCAAAGACAAAAAAAAAAAAATTGAATACAGTAGCTGCTCTCAAGTTTATATTTAGAATGCAGAATTTATTTCCTCTCTGAAAGATGACAAATCTAACAGTGACTACTGCTTGTACTTAATACAATAGTAGTGGGGAAAGGAATGGACATTTCCCCCAATCACTGGCAATATTTCCCATAGGATCACATTTAATCTAATTTGGAATATAAAACCCAGTCATGGGTGGTAGGGTGTTTCTTTCATTCATCCCTAAGGAAAATTTTCAAATTTTTTTTAATCCTCAGATTGGGTAAGGACTTCCAATTTCTAAATCAGGAATACAAGATTATTTATATTACCTTAATTCATTTACTAAAGGAGTTTTTGTTTGCAATGAGACTTTAACTTGGGAACAGCCAGAAACAAACACTGAGACACCACATAGTAAACTTATGTGTAAGGAACAAAGTTTGGAGATGTAAAATGAAAACAAGCAACTTGGCAGGCTCATAAATTGAGTAACCCACCACGTGTTGACTTCTCTTTGTAATTTTTCTGCTTTCTTTTAAGTTCAATAGGCACTGCCTGTGAACTGGAGTAATGTTTATTTTTAAATTGTGTTAACCTAGCAAACTTTCCTAACTAATATAAACCCTTTGACAGAGCAATCTATTTCCTTGTACAGTATTTCCTAATGTACAAAAATAGATTGAAATTGGGCCAGAGTTCAAATGAACTTGTGAAAAAAATATTGAATAGTATATTCTTTCAGCACAGTTAGAAAAAGCATAATGCATGAAATAGGATCCCAGAGATTGAGCTTTTGAATCCAACAAACCTTTGAGGAAAAGCCTACTCTGGGGAAAGAACTTTACTAGGGGCTGGGATACAAAGGCAAAAATGAAACAGACCCTGCCTTCAGGGCGCTTACATTCTATTGGGAAGGGGGACCACAACATATATAAAGATAAGGGAAAAGTATAGTCAAAGTAATTTCAAGTGGAAGAGGGAATATGAGGTTGCCTAACTACATAATAGATGCTGATTTCTCTAATATTAAAAATGATAGGAGAAGCTACATTTTTGCCATGGTATTAAAGGATTTTTTTTGTATGTGATGGGGTACAGCTCATCACAGAGAACTGCAGCTACCACAGTTTCCATATCTGTAGAATGAAAAAGTTGGACCGCAAGACTTCTAAGCCCCCTTCCAGGACTGATACTCTATGATTCTTTGGGTCAATATGTATTCAGGCAATCCAAGTTTTTTATGACTCTAGTGATGAGGTTTCCAGTTCTTTTTAAAAATGGGTTTTTTTCTTTCTTTCTTTCCTTCTTTCCTTCTTTCTTTCTTTCTTTCTCTCTTTTTCCTTCCTTCCTTCCTCCCCCTCTTCTTTCCTTCCTTCTTTCCTCTTTCTTTATTTCTTCCCTCTTTTTTCTCTTCCTTCCTTCCTTCCTTCCTTCCTTCCTTCCTTCCTTCCTTCCTCCCTCTCTTCTTTCCTTCCTTCTTTCCTCTTTTATTCCTTCCCTCTTTTTTCTCTTCCTTTCTTCCTTCCCTCCTTTCTTCCCTCCTTCCTTCCTTCCTTCCTTCCTCCCTTCCTTCTTTCCCTCCCTTCTTTCCTTCTCTCCCGCCTACACAAGACGTAATCTCCGTCACTCTTTGACTTGGCAGAGTGTGGTGATGGTTGTCTTCAGTGAAGATAAGAACCGAGACGAGCAGCTGAAGTACTGGAAGTACTGGCACTCCCGGCAGCACACGGCCAAGCAGAGGGTGCTGGACATCGGTGAGTAGTCCCGGCCCCCCAGCACGGCCCTGCGGGGCTCCGCACGGCTCCGCGGGGGGCCTATCTGCTATTGTGAAGTTAAGGCGAATGCTAGTGAGTAACAAAGCAATGGCAGTTCAGAAACCTCAAAGCGGGAGGGGGGAGCGTTTTTTCTCCCACGAGAGGGAAACTTACACTCGTTTCTTATCGGAAACTAGTGATTCTCAAACTTCTTAGCCTCAGGACGCCTCTGCACGCCTGAAGCTTGAGGATCCCGAAGAGCTGTCGTTTTTGTGACTCGTGCCCGTCACTATTTGCTGTGTTGGGAATGTCTTGGGGCTGTGCACGTGGTTATGACCTCGTGGATCCCCTGAAAGGGCCTGGGATACCCCCGGGACCCTCAAACCAAGCTTTGAGAGCCGCGGCTTTAAGAATAGCGCAGCCCAGTAGAGCAGAGGACGTCACCGTCTGGGGATAGTCGTGTGGTGGAGTCCTCCCTTTGGCAGTCTGCTGAAACCCGTGTGCCCCTTCTCGGAAAAATGTTTTTAGCGCGGTGCCTGACACATAGTAAACACTTAGTAAATACTTGTTGACTTGACTTGATTTGAATGCGTAAAAGCAAATACATAGGATTACGAAGGAAACTAAAGCTATCAAGTGAAGTCACTCAGCCCCTTCCTCAGTTTTCTCATCTGTGAAATGGGGATAACAATAGCATCTAACTCCCAGAGTTATTGTGAGGATAAAATAAGATGACATTTGTACAACATTTTGAAACCCTTGAAGTATTATATAAATAATGTTATTGTTAACATTATGAGTAGAAGATATTTTTAAAAACAAGTTCACCGACCCTGGATGACAAGCCCTTGCAGTAAGGCATTCCTTTCCTCTCGGAGCTTGTTTAGCCCCTCTCAGGGCTTGTGTTTTGAATGTCTTCCACCTTGTAGATGATGGTGCCTCTGTTCACTACATAGCTTTAGTGTCTATGCCAATCTTTTGGCATGGATGATTAAGAGATGTGATAAAAATTAAGAGCCAATAAGTACTGTTTTTAAGAAAATGAAAATATAACTCAATACTCAAAAATATAACTCAATAACTCAAACATTACAAGGGAAAATTAAACTCTCAAGAACACAATAAGGAGGGACAGTTAGGTTGTCCAGCGGATAGAGCACTGGCCTTGGAGTCAGGAGGACCTAAGTTCAAATCCAGCCTCAGACATTTACTAGCTGTGTGATCCTGGGCAAGTCATTTAACCCTGATTGTTGCCAGGGGGGAAAAAACCCAAAACAACAACACAGTAAGGAGCAAAAAAAGAATCGAAAGGAATAGAAAACCTAAGTACAACTTCTCCACATAAACTTTTGCTTCTTATCCATCATTACTTAATAATAATAATAACTGACATTTATGTGGTACTTTAAGTTGGCAAAGCATTTTACATACCACCATTTCATTTGTTCCTTCCACCCTGGTGAGTAGGGACCATCAGTATTACATCAAATATTAATAGAGGTCATCTGCTTTGCCAACTTTAAAGCACTACATCAACGTAGGTTATTTATCCTCATTTTACAGATGAGGAAAATGAGGCTCAGCATTGGCAAGCAGATTCTCACCCAGATATTCCTCTTGCCAAGTCTAGCATGATTTCTCCTATGTAATGTTGCCTCATGGACTTATTAGTGCAGGAAAAAAAAAAAACTTCAGAAATCATTCAGTCTCATTCATACAAAAGAGGAATGAGGCCTAGATTGGTCATTATTACTTGTCTATGGTCAAATGCCTAGTAAGGAGCAGAGCTGGAATTTGAACCCAGGCCTTTGTGACCTAAGGAAGATCTTCAGCTTGCTCAGCTTTAGATCTACTCATAACTCAAGCATTATTTGCTGGCTCTGTCTGCTTTGTTTGATAAGGTGATATCATATTATAAAGAGAATCCTGGAGTAGGAGTCAAGAGATCTATGTTCTAGTCTTTATTCTGCCTCCACAGAAGAAGCTGTTTGATCTTGGAAAAGTGACTTCCCTTCTCGGGGCTTCGGTTTCCTCACTGAACTAGATGAAATCTAAAGTCCCTTCCAATTCTTAAATTATATAATCTTATAGCCCGTATCCCAGAACTACAACTGTGGGTTGTGTGTATGAACTAGTTGGGGCTTCTTGTTAATCACTTTTTTTTTTCCTTTTTGGTTTGTAACCTCAGGAACAGCAGAATTTGGCTTATATTCAAATCTCAAAAAAAAAAAAAAAGAAAAAGAAAAAGGAACTCATTTCCCAAGAGACCACCCAGACTAAAAAACATTAAACACAGGACAGATTCTATTTCAACCAACATAAAAGGACTCATCTTGAGCTTGTAAATAGTCAACACAATTCTTTCTTTTCTGGAGGGCCCTCACTTTCCCCAGGACTGTATGCAATTTTCTAGACTTATAATACTGTGCTAGACTTGAGGATCCTTGCATGAAGGAATTGCATAGGGTCACTAAATAGTGTATCCCTTTTTCCTTGGACCCAAATAATCTACATAGCTCACAGTATATGAAGGGCAAGGTCTGGCTTTATTCCCTCTAAGTTCTTCTTGATCCAGGATTGCTTCCCCTGGGTACTTCCTCATCCAAGAATGTCTTTACCATTTTGTCATTTTGACCCTCCTACTTGCCATCTCTATTGCCAAGCATTTCCTTGTGATGGATTTTGGACTTTGCTGGATCATTGCCCGCTCTCCACTCCCCACTCCTTATCAGCTCCTTTCTCTGAATATAGCTCCTCTCTTTCCTTCCTTGTGTCTTTCTTCAAATTTATCTATTTCTGCTCTTTTAAAAGCCAAGGTCAAAGTGTCTCTGGCATTACTTAATTTGCATTGAGGTGTTAACTAGGTGATAATTACCTGTGAACTCTGTCAAGGTGGGGTCAACTATCCTGAGTTCCACAACAGAGTGCAAATGTGGGGTCAATGGAGATGTTTACAACTCAGAACAAAAGTTTTATGGTTTTAACCTTGTTAACAAGGAGTTAACCCTGACCAGCCTTCTCCAGAGTATATCCTCCACAATCCTATGATTCAAAGGCAGCTATGTTGTAAGTCCTCCAAGTACTTGTGAAAACTTGATTGAGATGTTGTGTCTCATCTGAGCACTCTTAGCTCTCTGATAGCATCATTCTCTCTTTGGGTCCCATTTCCCAAAGAAACTTCAATTTTTTAAAATGTTTATAATGGAAAGACCCAGGAATATCATTGGATGTAGGGCAGATCTGCCATCTACAGTCCTCACGTTTGTCACTCCTTCAAATAAGGAGAAAAAAAGGTTATTTGATGCTGTGGTTGAATTATTTCATTTTGTCCTTTATCAAGTTGGAATACCATACATATGACTATGCTACCATTGACGCAATCTGTTAGGTTTTACAACTTTTCCTAATTCCTCATGTTACACTCCCATTTAAAGTTGGATTCTTTTTAAAAGTTTCATTGATGACATTTTTATTTTCTATCCTACCTCTCTCATAGTTCTTTCCCTGTAGGAAAGCAGAGTCTCAAAAGGTCTAACTGTATGCAACATTCAAATCAACAAAAAGTTATTAAGTAACATATAAAGACAAAAAATGTCCCTGCTCTAAAGAAACTGATATTCTTCTGGTGGAATACAAATAAACAGATGAGGAAATGCAGGGTGATTTAAAAAAAGAGGGAACTTTTAAAGGAAAGTTAGGAATAGCTTCCTAAAGGAAGTGGCAAATGAAATGAACCTTGAAGGAAGCTAGGCATTCTAAGAGACTGAGATGAGGAAAGAGTATGTTCTATGTTTGGGGAAAAATAGTCTTTGCAAATACAACATTCTGCATCTCTAGTCCCCTACTTCTCTACCAAATATTTCATCATCTGTCCTAGGGGACCGAGTTCTGTCATTGCATTTAATATGAGTTCGTTGTTCAGTTGTTTCAGTCATGTTCAATTGTTTGTGACTCTATTTGGGGTTTTCTTGGCAAAGATACTGGATTGATTTGTCATTTCCTTCTCCAGTTCATTTGACAGATGAGGAAACTGAGGCAAACAGGGTTAAGTTATTTGCCCAGGGTCACATAGCTAATGTCTGAGACTAGATTTGAACTTGCATCTTTCTGACTCCAGGTCTGGCACTCTATCCACTGTGCCATCTAGTGTCCAATCTGAATTCAGTCTTTTAATTTTATCTTCTTATACTCATTGTTTATATTGTTCTCCTGGTTCTGTTTTCAGATGAGGCTTTTTTTGTTTGCTTCCTTTGTTTTATTTTTTGTCTTTGTATCATCAGCTCTTAGCACATACTAGGTACTAGTAAATGCTTGTTGAATTTATACTTCCCAAGTTTTTCTGACTTCCACATATTCATCATTTTTTCCAGCATATAATGTTTATATACCATCCTTTGTTTGGACATATCTCAATTGATAGACACTGATTTTGTTTCTAATTGTGAGGTTGTTTTTTTTTTCCCTGCCATACAAAATGTTGCTTTGAATATTTTAGTATATTTGTAACCTTTTTATTATTGATCTCTTTGGGGATATATTTAAAGCTAGGTTTCTAATCTATGCTTTTTTCTCTTTCTTAACCTTTTAAAAATATGTGACCATTAACAGAACAGGTTTTCCTCAGTTACAGATGAGTTTTCTCATATGGGCTATTTTACTGTGAGAATGAATGAAGAGGAGAGACTACCATCATGGCAAGTCATACTAAGTCTTCATGGCCTATGTTTGCAGTTGAACATAAGGATCTTTGGTTCCTTGTGTGTATTCAAAGAAAGTTGAGGCTGAGCTTACTCTTCTATCTCTGTGTATATAATTCCATAGAGAGTAATAAGGTACCCTTTGATATAGGACTTAATTCATAGCGCCTAAAAAAAAAGTTGAACTTCATTTTAATGAATCCTTTCCCCTCCTCTACCCAAAAGGTTCACCTGGGCCTTACTGTGATAGAGTCCCAGTTGCATTTGCTTACATGGTAGGGCCTAAACTTTATGAGCATCTCT